ATTACCTGTTCAAGCTAAAGGAGATGACAATAAATCTGTAAGTCCAAATTTCTCTCTTTATCAGAATGCATTTCTAGTCATCACTATTTATTAATGTTTATTAATATTTATATATACATTTTCATGAACATGTGCATGATTGGCGAAAAACTATGTTTTAGAGAGCTTGTTCCCCAAAGAGGACAACACCTGAAAAAGTAATCATGGTTTTAAATTTCATTTCATTTCTTATTTTTATTTTATAGGGTTCTGCTTCTAATACTGATCAAGAATCAGAGTCTGAAGAAGAAACCAATAAACCATCAGAACAAAAAAGTGGACCTGTACCCTATGATAAGGAAGTGATTAAAGAGAAAAAGAAAAAAAGGAAAAATAAGAAGAAGGGCAAAAAAACTTCTAAAAAGGAACCCCAAAAGGAGGAAGAACCACAAGCAAGCACCAGTATTGATGCTAAGGCACAAATGTATGAATTAAAGTGAATGCTTGTAATGCTTTTCACTATATTCACATTTCCCATAATGCTTTGCTTTTTGGGGTAATTGGACGAAAAGCTCTTATGAAATTAAAGATAAAATATTAGACCTGCTTTTATGTGTAAAATATGGATTATCAGTTCATTCTGAGATAATTTCCCACATTTAAAACATCAAGGCAAGCTTTTCCTCTGGTTAACACCAGGAGGAGCAGGTGTAGCTCAATTGGTTAGTGCGCAGCCTTCAGAGCTAGAGGTCCATAGTTCGATCCTCAGGAGCTCTACGTCTGTTTCGACTTCTCTCTGTTCTGTGTAGCTTTAATTAGCTTTAAATACCTGTAAAAAGGAGCACTGTTAGTAAGAGGGGGTAGAGGGCGCACCTTCGAGCTCATTAAATTAAACGAGCCCTTGGCTCGGGAGATTTGGGCAACCACTCCCTGCATTATCGAAGTAAAATAAATTACCTTTACCTTTACCTTTTACCACCCCTGCCCAAAGTGCAATGCATTAAAATATATAGGAAATGTAAAATTATATTTTTTAATGATATCATTCACTAAATCTCAGGCACTACAAAGTGAAATTGAAAGTCAAACAATGAAAAACTTCCAATTTTCTCACACTTCCATTACTTGCATACTCGAGATGACTAAACATGGTCATGTTACAGTATTCCAATGCATGCCAGCCTTAAATTGTCTTCAATTTCAGCTAAGAACAGCTAATTTTGTTTTATTCACATTATACATATTTTTTTATCTGTGAATGAACACCATGCCACTTGAGCTTGCATTTGTTTTGCTCATGTGAACCAATATTATATTGAGTTGGAAATGCCACTTCCATGGATATTTTGGAAATTTTGTAGAGGTCAATGGCTAGCTATTAGTTGTGCTTAATTTATAATTCTGAGAATGATTTTATTTTCATTTAAAAGTGTCATGTTTTTGAGTAATGCTGGAGGATTTCATTAATTTTAGGACAATGACAACACAACATGAGAAAAATAACTCTACACATGGTAAGCAAGAGAACCAACCAGTTGAACACGAGAATTCTAGAGAACAGTTAAGGGATATACAGTGCACAGTGAATGCACCACCTCCACCTGATGTAACAGCACAAGACTGTGTCACTGTCATATTCCATGCCTTATTGTCACCTGACTTTCACTTCAACCCTAAAAAGCAAAAGATCTCTATTAAAGTGGGTTTAGAGGAACTTGGAGGCTGGAAATATAATTGTGCAAACGACTTTACTGTAATTGGGTGAGTATGTATTATGATTGTGATGAATATAATTTGTAAGATTTATCAAATTGGGCTGATCAAATATATAGCACAAATATACTGATAGTTTATGTATATTCCCATATAGATGTGAGATTTATATAACAATCATGAGAGGTGTTTGGTATGAGTGTAAGCACCTGTGGGTGGTCACTGCCTGGTTTTGTTTTATTTCCCTCCGATATTGGTTAGTGATTAAGTGTGGAGAGACTGTAACGTTTGGTCACTCTTTTCACTTCAAATTCATAGCTCTAAAATGAAGAAATTTTTAAATTTCACAGAAGTGCAACATTTTCTGCGTCATTATGACTTGAGAGAACTACAAAAAGAGCACAGTATGTTTTGTTTGCAATGTTTCTGTTTTTCCCTCAAAAAAAGAGCGTTAATTTTAATGCCTCATAGAAAAGAACCGCTTGAAAACAGGTTATTAATAGTTACAAATACGTTCTAGTAATACCTTTTTTTCCTATAATTTTTTTTGCCACTGGAATAATTGTTTTTTTGTTTTTATCTCCTTATTGACTCATTACATAGCTAACAATAGGTGCCAAAGTAATCGACTTCTAAGTCATTTTCCTCGTAGTATTGCATGGTAATCCCTATTTTTTTGGTTTATTTTGTGTGGTTTATGTTGTTTTGTCGACTGGCAGGGTTTCAGAAAATTGGCATTTACTCCGCATTTGCCTGTGAACTTCTGTAAGTCACTTGAAACTAGATAGTATAGAACCATGGTGTATAATTTTAAAGGCAGTACATATTATTTAATATAAAGTTTAAGTGAGCTTGAACATGTTGCAGGCATCTAGCTGTTTTTTTATGATTGTGATCGGTATTCAGTAATATGAAAAATGCCACGGATAACAAATACAATTTTTTCTCTGACTAGTGAAATCGGCAAAGAGAGGTTTGTATCAATAACTGGAAAGATGCAAGTACCTGTTAGATTCCTATCTAGAGCTCTACCTTATAAGTACGTTGTATACACTGGCAATGGCAAAAATCAGAAAATTCGCTGGGAATACTCAGAATTCCGTAATGACCATCCTGGCACCATTGTAAACCGTGATTTGTGCCTGTTGGAAAAGCATAGGACGAAAAATGGTAAATATAACTGAAACATCAATAAAGGATGCACTTAGTTTTCTTTTTGGAATTTTTTAAAGGGTCGATTGTTTTAAATCTGTCAGATTTAAGTCTATGGTAAGTTTGGTGTTCAGGTTTCGTCGGTAAACTTATTTGTGAAAAATATAATAGAAATAAAAAATATAATATATAAAAATTATGAGAATTTTCCCCCCCTAGCCATTTATCATCAATATGATGGAGTAATCTACCCTCAACCTGAACGAGCCAATTTACTGAACCAAGTTGTGAGTTGGGTTACAAGTCCATGGCATGATCGCAAGCAGCAGTTCCTCAAGTACAGACTACTTGCAGCTGAGACATTTCTTCCAAAATGGAAAGGTTTTGTTGTGCATGGGGAATATGAGCAGATGTCAGCAAAAGAAGCCATTGAGAAGACACAGGCAATATTGAGATGTTTAACAGATGTTTATGTTTGTCTTGGTCATCATCCGGAAAAAAAGACATTTGATGGTTTATACTTCAAGAAGGTAATACTTAAAATGTATGTTAGGTTTAAGTAATCATATGCATTTGTTTTAAAAGAAAAACAATTTCTTTTCAGTTCCTAATAAACTTCTTGAAACCTAAATTGGAATACAATGCAAATCTAAGCGACAAGAAGGATCTTGAGAGTACACCTGTTCGTGTAGACCGTCTTGTATCAACCCTGGCAATTACACATCTTATTGCCCATTACAAGTTGGATCTTGAATATTTCCAGTTCAACGATATCTTACATTGCCTCGTGATACAAGGTAATGGTAGTGGTGGGTGTGACTTTGACGAGGTTCATAAGCACTTCCCTGAAGAGATGTGGAGGTAGGTTGAGTTTCTGTAACTTCAGTCTATAAATTAAAAAAAGGGGATTTAATAGTGCATTTGTACAGAGAAACTTGTCATCCACTGAATTTCAATTGGAATGTAGATATTGATTTTTGCAGAGGGAGGAAAGTCTGGGAGCCAAAACCGGGTTACCTTGGCTAGCGCTCTCTCTGCTACGCCATCCATGCTTCCCAAGATGGCTTAACTGCTGTACAGTATTTACTGATACATTTGGTATATTCATCTTAGTGATCTTGTAAAGTCTATCCTCCACCTCATGAAAGCTGCCAAGGACAAGTATAATCATTATTCTTGTCCAGACATCATCCTTGCTGTTCCTCTTCTTCATTTTCTACGCAAGGACTTGAAACCATTCGAAGAGCCTGAGGTGACACACCAAAATACTGTAAAAGAATGGTGTTGTGCAGAAGGTGTACCACAAAACAAAACTTACAACAGGCAAGTGCAAATTGAGTGCTGCGATCCTTAGATAATGTTGCATGTATAAACTCCATTTTGCGCATAGCAAATTAATGGCAAATATTCAGTTAAAAAATAGTAAGTAAAATTCATTGGCTGACGAGGTAATTATACGTTTATTCCACAATTATATCGCAAAGTGATGAGTGTGATATAGGTTTTCATAATAATAATAATAATGATTATGATTTGTATAGCGCCCTTTTATATGTGGATATAATCAAAGGCGCTTTACATGGAGTTGTGAATGACAGATTGCTTTATGCAATTTACAAGCATGAGAGATGGTTAGTATGAGGTGTAGGCACTGTATGAGGGTGGTCACTGCCAGGGTTTCTTTTTACGTCCTCAGTGCATGGTTCTTTTATGTCCACCATTTTACTGTTGGTTAGGAAGGGTTAGGAGATAGGGCCTACGGTTTAAAGTCCTTGTCCGAGAAGACTTGAAGGTCTAACCATTTGCAGATATTATTACAAAGGCAGCACCTTCTCAGTTATTTTAAGACCCTGAGTGTTGGTCCGGCCGAGGCTTGAACCACGACCTCCCGCACAACAGACCGACGCTCTTACCAACTGAGCTAACCGGGTGGCGGTTTCAAGTGAAATTCTGTTGAATTCCCGAGTCAAACAATAAATTGATTGAAAAGAATGACCAAAAATTAAGATTTAGGCAAAATTTAATATGGGTTCTGTGATTTTTCATGCGATTCCACATGAAATACCCGCTTGTATCCGACATCTATAACCGATCAGCCCGCATATTTCAGATGACCTATAAGATTCTAAAATGAACGACAAATCGTTTTCCCACTTTAACCAACCAAAATGCGAGGGCAACCCTCGCATCCCAACCCTTTTCGGGCTAAAAAACTGACAACAAACTCCGAGTCAATCCCGATGTTCTTCAAAAGAAAGATCTCTGAGTCCTACCGAGTGAAAAAGTTAAAATATTTGACCACGGTTTTGAAGCACCCTTCGTACTGTAATACTTTGGTAATACTCATTCAGAATGACGAAGACTGACAGATGTATAATATGGCCTCCATAATTGTAGCCCCAGTATCTGGAATGTGAACAGCTTGGATTAACCTATAATCGGCAGAGACTATTCATAGTAATTTACAATATTCAAAGAATAAGGTCCCTAACTGACTAACTGAGACTGGATTTAATAGAGCTGAGAAACGAGAAACCAAATGACATCTAAGTGATTCCCATCGCAATAGTTCACACACAACTCGTTTGCTAACTAAATTTATACATCAACAGTTTTGTCGAAACTTTCCTGCCTAAAGTTAAGCCAATGTTCACGTTGGATCCACTGCTACGTCGACTGTTTCTGCATTACACCCCTTTAGAGGATTTTCCCAA